AGGGACTGCGGCAGAGCCGGTTGTAGCGGTACGCACATATACGGGCCCACAGAGGTGTGGGGTTCGGCCACATCCCCCGCCGGGAGGCCCTGGCCGGGTTGCGCGGTGCCCCCAGAGCGCCTCAGCGCCTAACGGAAACCCCGCAGCCGTTGAGAAGGCGGCCTGCGCCTGTCAGGGTGCCGCAGAGGCAGCCCGGGGCTGCCCAGCGGGGTCCTTCCCAAAAGACGGCGTGAGAGCGGGTCGCGTAACCCTTAGCTGCGATTAAAGGCAAAAATGCTGCTACTAATCAGTAGTGTCTCTAGCCTCAACTTTCAATGTGCGTGAAGCCCCTCAGGAGGAGTCTGGTGGGACGGACTGAGATGGCTCAGGAAGCAGCCCGCGGGTAGCAGGGCAGAGAGCTGCCCTCCCTCAGGTGGGATAGCTTTTAAGTTTGGTTTCCGCAGATGAGGGATGTGGGGGTCTGGCACCATCTCTGCGATTAGGCTTCTCACGGGAGTCCCAGCAGAAAGAAGGGTATTGCCTGGGCGCGGAGGGCACCTTTAACAACCGAAGTGTTTAGGTAACCTTCGAGCAAATGTCTACATTTTTGGAAGCCCTGGATCCTTTTTTTTTGTGTTTTCTTCATTTGTGTCCTCTGTCTATGTTCTCCAGAGACATAATTTTTCCCAGAATGCAATGTTTGTCAGCGTAAAGAAAAACTGCCATCGAAAGCCCTTGAGTGAGACCTAACCAGAAAGCACTGATACACATGAACAGATAAAATGATTTTTTTTTGTATTTTTCACTCATCTCTCTTGTGTACAAACATATCCTAGTGGATCAGAGGTACTTAAGAGGAAGTAATAATCTTTTGTCTATTTCATATGATGCTTCTAGTAAGACAATTGTGACTGACTTTTAACTGGATTTTTGAGATGCCGTCCATGTTCTTTCCTCTCTATTCTGTGACAGTTCTGTCCCTTGAAAATGGGAATATTTCTATAAATTAGCTTTAAATTCGTCTTTTTTAACAGCAATGGCAAAGCGTAAGCAACGTCAACGAAAACTGAGAGCCAGAGCAAAATTCCTAATGGAAAAAAAAGGAGATGCAACTAACTTCCAGGGCTCAGGTTGTCCCTCTCCAAGGTAAGGGGCTTACCTTGCACTTTTTCTTTAATTTAATTTCTGGGTCCATTGTTTTCTCCATATATAATACGGAACCGAGGTAAAACAACTGTGTTGGAGCCTATCTAGGTCCTGACCTGGCTGCTGTGAAATCATTTCATCTTGTACGTTTTCTAGTATCCTATCTAATGTTAACTTTAATGTGCAGGAAGTACATTTTGGAAACAAATGTACTGCAAATCTGAGATTTTTTTTGTTTCCTTCTTTATCAGTGCTGCAACGCTTCTCACAGTGTATGCTGGTCTTTCCTGGTCTCATATGCCTGTGTTTACTCTTTTGTCAACTGTTGTTGCTGGTACTTGTAATTTCCATATGATTGACCATGGTTAATTTTTTAAAAGACTGAAAATATAAATATAATTAGGATTTCATTCTGAAATGTTCTTTCCTAGGTCAGCAGGTGATCTTCCTCTGAACACATCTCCTGTCCAAAGCCGTCTGTCCTCAATCTGGTCATTAGCATTGCCCAGTGTAAAAACTGTAGTAAAACCCTTTACAGTAACAGCATCGCTTTTGTACTGTTGGTGCCAGAACACTGTTACACAGGTACACTTTCTGCTTCTCTGTTTTTGCCAGTATGTGAGATTGTTCTTAGCAGTCAGATGCAGGATTTACAGTCAGATTCCTGAATTAGGCTAAAAACTTAATTCTATCTACTGAAACATCTAAAGTATATTTTGTGGTTACTGCTGTAGGATCAAGTATGAGAAGACTGTCCAAGGCCGCTGTGGGTGTTAAAAGCATACATGAAGCTGGAACTTTCATTGCAGTATCAGGAGGATTCGCAATGACAGAGGGCAGTCTGTCTTTAATAGCAGAGATGATTGTGTTCATATATGAACTTTTCAGGTCAAATGTGGATTAAACTCTAGAATTCCTAGATAAAGTTAAAAGCCTTTTTGAGAAAGTCGCTCTTTGGGTTCCTGCCCAGCCTTAAGGCCGTTGTGGTAAAGGAGGTTGCAATTAATATTCAAAGATTGGTTGTCAAAGCAAAAATTATAGAACGAGTCTAAATTATTTGGTGAAAATGTCTGTCTTTGCTTTGTGCCTTTCTGTCGACTACAATGAAAAGACTTTGCAATAGAGCTTTCAGTAGGAATCATACCTGTAGCCTTGTCCCTGGAAATATAACTTTGTGAAAGCACTCATTTGGTTTCTTTTTATGCTTAGAGTTTTAAAGTGGTTAAAGACACCATATTTCCATCGCAAATCTACTTAAAGGAGCTAAATACGTTTAGAGAGCAGCTGGGAAAGTTGGAAACTGAACTTTCCAGATTACAAGGAATACTCCAGGTCAGTCTCAAACCCAGTGGGGCAGGGTCATGTTTACTTGTGTAAGCATGTAAGGAACTGTGATCTGTGAGGAGAAACTGAAATCTTGAGACCTTCTCATTGTGTAGTGTTTCACCTCTTCCACACGTTAAGCATTACTAAGCTGCAGTTACTTCGTGGTTGCAGGGAACCGGTTTGCTGATGAGTCTCTGGACCAAATAAAGTCAGAAGCTGTGTTCTTAAAATTCTGCGTGCTTTTGTCAGGGCATTTAATATTCTTTTATTTATTCATACTTTTTTCCAGGTGAATGGAATCGCAACTTTGTCTTCAGAAAATTCTCTTTGTCAAAGGTGTAATAAGCCAGTTCTGGGTGCTCCTGTGCAAACGCAGACGGAGCTGCCGTCATCAGTATCTGGGCCTTCTGCAGTACAACTGCAACCTGTATCTGCACCCCCTCCACCTCTTCCGCCTCCACCGCCACCACCACCTCTGCCCCCACCGCAGCTGCCTCCAGCACCTCTCCTTCTCAAACGGGGCAGCAGCTCTAAAGCACTTCTGGTAGGCAGTAACCTCTATTTATTCACTTGCGGCTGGGTTCTTTGGACCTGGGTCCATCATGAATGTTTGTCTTTAAAACCGGCAAGTGACAGACCGTTCACAATTTCCCTTCCAAATCCCCTCTGTTTTCAGGAGACATCACTAAAAAAAGATGGGCCAATGCATATCACTCTCAAAGATCTTCTGAATGTAAAACTGAAGAAAATAGACAGCAACCTGAGAATGGACAAGGTAAATTAGAGAGCATATAGATAGCTGGATGATGGCGTATCGGGGCAAACTCTGCACAAGAACCAGTGCATTTCCTGCAGTGCTTGTCTCAGCCCCTCATAGAATCACAGAATTTCATCAAGAGAGGATTCTTTCTCTTGAAAACCCAGCAAGACATTTTAAGTAAGCCTTCTAATTCTGCATGTGGGCATTTGAAGTGAACAGATTAAGTAACCAGCTCCAGTCTCATGGAGGGATCTGGGCTGATGTGCAGGACAATTCTCCTAAATTAAGATTAAGGGCGTAGAGCTTCCATGTAGCTTTATGTTTGTGTGAGTATTGTCAATGTATTTTGGGCTTTATTTCACCTGTCTGAAATCTGGTTTGCAGAAGTCTTTTTTTTTAATAGACTCTATTTTTGTCCAAGGCACATTAAAGATTCAAAAAAGCAAGGAAGCCCTAAACCACAGAAGTCTTTCAGAATATAAATATTAAATGGATTTCAGTTCAGCGAGACCTTTTAAAGTTCATTTGTAGTAACATTTCTCTTCTGACTTCAGGCAGGATCACCAGTGAAGACACGCAGGGCATTAATTACAGTCTCAGATTTACAGAGCATTAGTCTGAGACCTAAATCCAAGCCATCAGCTCACATTACAAACTGCTTAATGTAAGAAGTCTTCTTCCTTTCTTTGGTATTTGATTTTTATGTTCAGAATAATGATGAGCACTATTTACAGAATGGAGAAATGTTTTATTTTAATAATCTGTTTTCTTCTGTTAGTACCCCTGCTAAAAATCAGTTAGATCTTCGAAAACATCTTAAGAAAGTCAATATGCAAAGGTAAGCTCCTTTCTATTCTCATTTTGTTTTTCAAAAAAATTAGAGAACTAATAATAACTCCCCTTGCTGCTTCCAATCTTTTCAGAAGTCCTGGGGGCACTCCACTAAACGCTAAAGAAAACATTGAGTGCGGCACTGGGTTGACACCAATAATGACACAGGCACTACGACGCAAATTTCAGGCGAGTCATTGTGTTTCTCTTTTTAGAACAATAAACTGGCTTTAAAATTGCAGTATACCGTAGAATTGCATACAGATTTTTTTCCTACAGTGCAGTCCCATTGATATGTGTGGTCCCTTGAGGACATAAGGTACCTTAATGGAAAGTGAAAATCCTCAGGAACTAGTGTTACTGAGTTTATAATTACTACTAAGTATGGAAGTTACTGCCTCTTATTTGACATCCAAAAGGGCTAAGTTCTTCACAAATAAGGATGCCTGTTTTACTGTTTCCCATTTTACTGGTAAGAAAACTACAAAATGGAGATGCTGTTGCCCTGCCTTTCAGCAGGTTGTTTGACAATGCTTAGAAAAATTTCTGAGTTGCTTTTTTTGTGCCTCATGCCGTCTCTCACGTCCTAGTTCCAGTTTCTAGGAGAAAAAAAATCTGAGGGCTAATAGTGTCTTCTATTTTAACAATTTGCTAGGTTTGTTTTCTCTTATGAAGTATCCGTTAAGAATTACACTATAGTTTATCCGAGTAGTAACTGGTACCAAGTTCATGCTCTAAGGTCTGACCCTGTTCTTGTTTTAACAGATGGCTCATCCGAAGAGTCCCTCTCCAGCCCGGTTAAACGCTGCAAACAGCTTCGATGAACAGAAGTAGATTTATGGAACAGTGTATTTTGTTCAGTTACGGTGAGGAAGCCACTTGAACCCCACTTTCCTATCACTCAGGCATAATGTATTTGTAAGTAAATCTAACGCAGAAGAGAAAGGGGAGTGCTGAAAAACCTTTAGAAGAATTCTGCTTTTTAAAGGCAGCATCTTTATAATGTGTCTCAATCTGGTTATATCTTATCTGTTAATGGACACAATTGAATGAAATATTCTGAGTCCTTTTAATATTTGGCTGGTGCTGAAACTTTCAAAAAATAAGTAGGGACTGTTATGTTCCTGGCTTGGTGCTGCTTGTAATGTAAGTGCATTTGTTCACTTAAATTTAATATTATTTTTATATTTTTGTAACAAAAAAGATCTTGACCGTAGTTATACAGATGCGAAGAAAAGAAGCAATTTGGTGCTCTAATATTATTAAAGTGCGGGGCTGCAAGTTTCCACAAACAATACAATTCTTACGTGCCTAAGAAAGTATGACATAATTAATGTATGTGTCATTTCTGGCTGGTGTTGGCTCACGTATCATGTAAAAAGAGAGACTGCATCGCTTAAAGGCAGGTAACTGAAAGCCTTCTAGAGTTTCGAGGCAAGTTCACAAACAGCTGCAGCGGAGGCTTCTCCCAGTTACAGCCATTGCTTCCGTGGCAGAGTTGGCGTAGAGACCACGTGTCTGTACCTGTGGCCCTTCCCTCCAGCCCAGGATAAGGACCTGCTTTCCCGGAGAGTCCTGCATTGGTTCTGCTGGCAGAAAACAACCCAGCCGTGGTGGTGTCCCTCAGAGCGCTGCGCCCCGATCCACCCCGCGCCTTTGGGGAGAATCGCTGCGCAACGGAATTGCCTGTCTGGGGAGAACTGGGCTGCTCTGGGAGATGTTCCGAGATTTCCAGTATTGATGATCTACAGTACTCAGAGCTCCTCTCTAGTGTTGAAAAGATAGCGTCAACTCGTTTCGCTCTAACGACCGCTTCGCTCCTGTTACCACTACTCAGTTGTATTTTATGATGGCTATTACTGGCTTATTGCAAAATATCGCTGATACACGTCCTATGACCGCTGCTTCCTGTCTCTGTGTCCACGTAACCC